TTAGGAGTCGCATAATAATTATATCAATGAAATCAACAACAATTTAACAGCAAAGGTTAATTACATTTATTTAAAAATCTGATAGACAAAATGATGCTCAAACAGTTGGGCAGACTAATTGAAAGCTAATGTTGCTCCTAAATTGAATTTCAAATGAATTTTACATCCATAGTTCATTTTGCTAATTTCATTCCCTGTATCCTGTAATTTGTTGTCAGTGATTGATTACTTAAGTGAATAATATCTATGTACCAGGACCACTTCGTAATAGAGTGTGCCAAGTGTGATCATACTGCTAATAAATACAGTTTCTTTAAGGTTTCCTTCTCTGTCTGGATTTTGGAAGAGCAGGGATGCAGTGCTGGGGGAGCAAAGGGCCGGCAGCAGCTCTAAGCTCCTATTTTAGTTCCATCTCAACAACAGGTTGCAAACCCCTCCCCGTGCTGGCGGCAGCCGCCCCTCGCAGCCCTCCGACACGCGGCGGCGCTTCATCACCCCTCAAATCCTCATTTTCGTTTGTCAACGGTGGAAAATTTATCTATCGAGGCTTTGGCGGGGAATATTCCGCACGCAATATTCCGTGCAAGAGGCGTTGCAGCCCCGGTGCCCGCAGCCAGCCCTCTCCAACCCGAAATCCAGCGCCGAGCCCCGGGCCGGCACTGCGGACCCCAGACCCCCCGACCCGATGGGTCAACCATCCCTCGAAACCCCGTCGCCGGGAGCGGAGGCTCGGGGTGACCACAGCAGAGCCCCAACAGGCGCTGCTTCCTCTTCTTGGTGCCTTTGAAGCATCCGCCGCTGCAAGATGAATGCAATTATATCTTAATAAAATTTTAATACAGGGAATTATGCACTTTGCATCCAACCAACAATTAGCTGTTGCTATGGTACAGCCAGAGTGTAATCACAATAACGAAGCCAGCCGAGGGAAGGCATTAATCAGGATGTCTATCATTATCCAACCTCACCCCCTGCCTCCCCAGCTCCTGATTCGGAGCCTCCCGTTGCTTTAACGGGAAAAACAACCCCAAAATGAAGCGGATCCCTCTCTGGGCACCGTTTCCCATCCCAGCTGCGGTTTGGTTTGGCCAAGGAGCCAAAGCTGCTGGCACCCCACTGCTCCAGCTCCGGGCCCACTCCAGGGCCGAAACCCCATGGGCAGCAGCAATCCCCCCCCCGCCCCAACTTCACATCTTTTCATCGTTTATTCCCCGGGATCCAAAGGAAACATCCGACAAACCGGAGATGCGGGGGGAAAATGGCAGCTGACGGAGCTTCTGCGGATGGAAGGGGAAGAAATTCATTAATTTTTCATCGCCGTGGCTGGGACGTGAGCAGCTCAT